AAGGAATCCCGTCTGGTTATTCTTCCTTCTTCCCCCGCCCTTCCCGCTTATTCGTTCATCTCCACATTTTCAAAGTGAGTGCCTACAACAGGCTATTCGTCAATTGAATAATGGTTGAAACATCCCTTTGGTCCGTTTGACAAGTGCAACTAATAGAAAGAGGGTCACTTGATACTACTTGCTCAGTAACGGCACTCAGCTGAGGCACGCTTGTTAACTCACTATCACTTGTTCTCCTTTTAACAGCTTGGAACACTGATGTCAAACTTAGAAATAAAGTTCAGCGCTGAAAAAGTGGAAGACCTCGTAGACAAAACCAGCAACTCAGTGTTAAACGCCATGAGCTGTTTAAACGGCGAGGCGTAAATTCAGGCGGTTGATATATAGTACACAGGTCTTCCTGTACATTGTTTGGTTTGGATTTAAATAGTTTAGTTACACCAAGAAGCTAGTTTACTAACGTTGAGTTTAACCCTCAACAACTTGAGAGTGACTGGCAACCTATTATTCCTTTCAGTATCACCGTTGAATCGAACATTAAGGTCACGAGAATGAAAGAAACGATTCCCATCCAAATTGAACCGTTAAATATTTTAGGGGGCAGGCTTCTCCTACCAAATTAGAGAAAAAGTATGCTCCAGAAACCATATTATCTATATCTGCACTGCGAAGATTGTCCATGAAAATTAACTCCTCATCGCAGTTTAAGATTTCCAAAGATTGGCTCATCTTTCAAAAATTATCTTCAACTATGCCCATCTCCGAACAATTGACGCCGCCATGTTGAAAACAACGTTAACTCTTTATCCTAACTACGTCTGCACTGCTTTTGTTGATTGCAAAGTCCAGAGGTTACACAACAAGATTTAAAATGGCCGCCATCAGAAGCGAATTTTTGGCGCATTTCGCGGGTCAGTGTCGTAATTTCATCATTAATGGAGATAAATGTAATGCAGTTTCGGAAGCACACTTCCTTGAGTCGGGTGTCGTTTAGTTACAGGGTTTGAACTGATTACCATTCAGTTTAGTTTAGTTTTAGTTGCGCTTAGTTCAGTTCAATCTCTACAGACGTAACGCAAGGTGACTACAAGAGCGTGACCTTCAGCGTTGCGTGATACTCAAGAATACAAGAACATGAGTAAAAACACTGATTTATGGCAAGCATGTTATACACTGGATATATCAGAAACCAGTTTTAGTCAAAGTTTTATCCAAATTTTTCTGGAGACGCCTTTCAGGAGCCCGCGTTGTAAAATTCCCATGGGGTCATAGTTGTGTCTACTTACAAAGCATCTGGAGGAAACATGTAAGTCATTTGACCTGATAGTAATCGCTTTATTTATCAAATGTTCATTCAACAGTGGTGGTACTGGCGGCGAAAAAGCGAATGGCATCCATAGATAATGTTGATCTGAAAGTTAACCGGCTTAATGGAGGGGGAAAAACACGTCTCCTTTGTGGACAGCTATCCTATACATTATTTTTTTTTAGCTCAGTAGAGAAAAGATGTCCTCCAACTGACACTCTCCTTTGTTGTTACTTAGTATTCTATTTCGCAAATTTTTTTTTTCAGTTCAGCCTTCCAAAAATCACAAACATGGGAGCAATGTAACGTAAACCCCGCAAAATATTTCACGTCATGGGAAAGCTATGCGAAAAGTACTGACAGAGAGCTCGATACAGTTGGGCTTTGGGCGATGAACGGTGAACAATGGAACCTAAAATTCTTTGGCGTGCGATTCGTACACTGGAATATCATTCTATTCATATACAGTAAAATTGCAATTGTTCAATAGCTAAAACCCCACACAGTGTACCTGCTGAATGATGTAGATAACGCGTTCTAACTTTTAATGACTTTCTAGGGGCGATTATAAAAGAGTATAAACTAAGATAACAAGATTACCTGTTCAAGCCTCGAACTCGCATCATCTTTAGTGTGGGATATATGATATGTAAAAAAATCTCATACGGAACACGGGGGTGGGAATATTTCAGGCAGGTACAGAAAGCACATGGTTGATGCTCCGAGGCACATCTATAATATGATGCCCCTTCTTGCTGAAGAAGAAATAATACATTGTGGATGAAACGGGTGACCTAACCCCCTTCAATATTTTTGAAATTAGAAGCTATGGCCTTTTCTCAATTTTGCGAGAGGGGGTCAAAGCTCTCTTTCATAGAGTACTTATCTCCACGTGTGTTGGACCTCTTTGTATTGTTTCTGCTAAAAGTCATGTTGATCAGTTACAGCTTTGCAAATCGGTGAATAATTACAAAGTTGCAAGGTGTACGTATTTTTTGAGGTGTGCAATATTTTAATATTTATGAAGTTGGTTAGAGTGAGGTAACGGTATTGGTCAATATTTTTACGCACCAAAAATAACCTGTTCTGAAACCGAAAAATTCCATCTTTAAGCTTCAACTGCGTTGCATTTAAATGATTAAATTGATGATGGAACTTAGAGTTTTAAGAAGGAGTACTTTTTTAGTGAATAACTGTGTAATATTACATCCGCATCCATCCGCCTACGAGAAGCATTATGAAGTGCCCATCATTCCTAGCGTATTTTATTTAGTGCCCGGCCCGCCGTGACACATCACCAAAGTTGCCGTCCCGCCGTCAGGCTGAGAGGATATTATACTCTTTGAGTAAGCTTCGCTTTGGACGGGAAATAGACCGTTCCCTAAAAGGCAGGTATCTAATTGATAATACCAGTTATCCTTGTTATAACCTTCTGTTATGAGGAGAAGTTTTGATTTCAGCCTGCAGACAAGTTTGATAAGCTCATCAAGAATATGGACGCGTATTGTAGGCAGCCAAGGAGACATCGCTAGTACAACAAGAACGAGATTTTCGATAAGAGTCGTTAACAGCTCGCTTCAAGGTGCCAAAAAAACACTTGTTATCGCCTGGTGTATGAAATATTTCGATTAAGGTACTCCGGTGGTTTTCTTTTCATTATTTCCTTGTTTATATGCTAACAAACCTGAAGGCTGCGATATAAGCGTTTGTGTGTTTAGGAATGCGTGTAATGTAGTCACTCATATTTCCGGGCATTAGACTCTCGATTTAAATGCTACGGAGTAAGGCGCATCCTAATCGATCACTCTAAGGTAAGGCCATTAGACGTTTTTCGTAAAGGTTCATTAACTTTTTAATTTGAGGCAAACGAATTGGGGATTTAAAGCTCGCTGCATGGGATATTTTGTGAGCAATTTACCGTTTCAATTTGATCTACAACATTTAGTGCTGTCTGTTTCAAGAATTCAATTTCTTGTGGATGATCCGTAGGTTTCTTCGCTCCATTCTGGCGAGGAAGGTTAAAATTTGACGTAATTGAATTCTTATTTATTGTAAATGAATGCGTGGGAATATTGAGTTATTTCTCCCACGGCAGGAATAGTTACTCTATTGCGGTCACAGGTCATTTAAAACGCTGGCACTTCATAATGATACTGACTAATCAAAACAGACGAAAGGTCATCTACCAAGTCAGATCAATACCAGTGCTATTCAAAAGACGATATAAACAAAACTACAGTGTAATTTTTTAAAATAAAAAACTCGTACTTAAAAGTGATTACAATAATTGTTAAGTGCCTCATTACTTACGCTTGGGCCAAATGTAAATGCTGGCTAATTATAGATAGGTAGTTTTGACTTTCATTTTACAAAATTTAACGATGTCAGGCAGTTTTTTACAGCCTTTCTTTCCGTAATAAGCCTTTACACTGGAAATAAAATTATAGCAAGTCAGATTTGTAAACTGTTCATGTAATGTATGCGCGACCAGCACTTATCATTAGAACTAGAATTTGTGAACCTTTTAATTTAAAGTACAATGTGCATGTCCCCTAAAGGTCACCTAAAGATGTCTGAAAAGATAGAGCCAATTTACCCATTTTCTCATAATTTTCAAACAGTTATCATTAAAGATCCCAAAATATTGCAAAACATCGTCTCTGCAGTGACACAATATAGAACAGAATACAGGGCCATATGAATTTGCCATTATATCTCGGTTTCACAATTGTGTCTGTAATTATGTTATCTTTGGTTGGTAGTCTAAATTAACACAAATAAGGTGGATCTCATTGACCTTGTATTTTGTGTGGTTTTTCTGCCTGTTTTTGATTTAATTTGTATCAGTATTTCAGCACATAAACAGATGGAGTAAAAAGTTTCTGGCACCCACAAATATTAGAAACCTGCTTCTTGCTTTCAAGTAATAAATATTATCATTTAGTTAAAGTGAAAGTTCTAAGAGAGGGAGGTCCACAGTGTACTTGCGAGTGATAGCTTGGAAAACTTCCTAAAGTTCTAGACTGGACTTTGTGCCTTCTGTGGAAATATAATTCACTGTTTTCCTTTATGTTTATTTTTCAATAATAGGGACAGTTTTTGCTTGTGCATACAAGTGTCTTGAGTGATGCATTTGGAGCTGTAAGGAAAAAGAAAATGTCTACTGCTGAGTCAGAACAGGATAAACAGCCTTTTAGTGCTATTAATGATGCAGTTCCTTCTGGAAAAGATGAATCAGGTGATCCACCCACAGAAGTGACAAAGAGTACATTTGAAACAGAAACCAAGCCTGTTGACTCAACTGTCACTGAAGCAGAGTCAGCAAAGAATGGTGATGAAGAAAAAACAGAAACTGAAGCACAGAACCCTGAAATTGTTATTAATGGTGATTTTAGTAAAAGCCATGAAAATGTCTCATCTTTAACTAACAAATCAAATGAAACTAATCAAAAATCTACACAAATCAAAGAGGTTGTCAATGGGGTAGAAACTAGTGATGAAAATTGCACAACAAAGGATGTAAAGGATGAAGGGAAACCTGCGGAGACAACTGAACTTGATAAAGGCCAAGAAAAAGTTGAGAATGTTCCAGTGAAAGTGGAAGATGCTGTTCCTGAGAGTAAAAGAGAAGAAGAAGCTGGAGTTAAAGAAAGTGTGGAACAAAAAGAAAATCAGCCCTCAGAAGAAAGCACTGTTGCTGTAACAGGTAAAAGCTTATGTTAGTATATTCACCTAATTGCAATACCATTGTCATATGAAAAGTAAAGCAAAAGAATGAAGACAGGCCAAATAGGAAATGTATTAATGTCTAAAACTACCCTTTGGCTTAATGCACAGCAGCTGAACAATTTTCACAGAATTTCCACAGAAAACTTCATCAAACTTTGTGAGAGATGAGGTGTTATTTCGAGATTACAAGTGATTCCAAAAATTAAAAAAGAGAAATTCCAGAGTATGTATATTTATATTGGCATTTTTCCCTTTTTTTCCTTTTTCTATGACAATGTAACTACAATTAGGTGCCTGGCATACCTTTTGCATGTATTAGCATGTATTAGTATGATCAGTTGCCTTAATCCTTTGCCCCCAAAGAGTGACTAGAATCTGTTTTCTCCTTACAATATTAACCCTGAATCACTCTTTAAGATCAGGAGAATAAAGGAATGATCACCAGTTAAAGAAACTTTTGATTGTTAATTAAAACAAATTCTGCTTGCCAGCAGCTTAGGAAGTGCCATTATGTGTTTCAAGTGAATCTTGAGTGTATATCACTTTGAGAACTCTTTTTCATACTACCCGCATTTTTTTAAAGAACTTGGTTAAGTCAAGGATTTCCAGAGATGATCTAAATATTTCCAAAAGACACTCTAAATATTTTCATAGGTGTTTGCAGTGCTCTACCTTTCATAACCAAAGGTTTTGAGGAATTTACAATCAGTTGCCCCTGGGTTTGAAAAAACTTTGTTTCCTTCATACTTTATCAGCTTTATGTTGTGTTCTATATTTTCCCAAAATTTGTCAGTTTAGATTGTGATTGCAAAAATTTGTCTGCAAACCATGAGACATTGGTTAGCAGGTGTAAGCTGGGGAGGGATTGGAGTTTTCAACAATGAGGCTCATCATGCCCAAGGTGTAAGAGGTAACAAGTACACCCACAGATAAAAGTGTATCAGTTGCAAATATATATAATTATATAGTTGTACATTGTAACACAGGGCAGAAGGTACAAGAGTTTCTGTTAGCATGCACTGTAGATGTACACAACTGCATGAGCTTCCTCTTGCTTTTCTCAATAATAGAATATATAGAATAATATGTGGGTGTGCGCAGATATGTAATTTTTCTTGGAGTGTTCAACTCAATTCCCTCTTTAGTGAGATATGGACAGGCAACCATGTATTATTTTTTTAAGTAGATAAACACCATAGAACTTTGCTGACAAGAAAATTTGATAAATGACTTTGGATTGAGAATGGTGAACTCTTCATCAATCATTCATTAATCTGATAGAGTGGTGTGAAACACTGCAGCTTATATCATTAATATTTTTAACTTACATATATATTGGATGTACAGTACACATGTTAAACTGAATAGAAGATTGTGTCTTTTTGTAAGACCAAGAGGGTGCTGACAGGAAAAGAGCTGTGACCATTGACAATCCAAGTGATATGAAGGAACTGACTGAAAAGAGTGGGGAGTCCACAAAAGATGATACAAATAAGTTATCTGCTCAAGAAAGGTCAAGAACTCTGGGAGATATTGAGGGAAGTGCTTCAACACCTTTAAAGGTAAGAAATTATTTACCCATAAATTGTTTTCTTTATCACCATCTGTACATTGTTGTTTTACTCATTCACGCCACATCTAAACAACAATCCTAAGAACATAGCAAATGCAAGCAACTTAAAGAAACATTTGTTCAAGAGATTCCCAAACAACATTTCAAGTAGCAAACATTTTGGTGTTACAAGGACATTTTAAGATACCTTTTTAGCCTAACTTTTGCTAATTAGCTATTAAAAATATTTTCAACTCTACACATACTTGACTTCTCATGTTGATGTTTTTTTACATTGTATAATTAACTATAAATAGACCCTTTTTCTTTCTTTTCTTTAAACTATGGTACTAGGTTCACCAGTAACTGTGATAGCCATTAAAGTCTATTTATTTGTTTATTGTTTTGTCACTCTGAGAAGTATGCACCAACAGGCTATGAAGGGTATAACATGCACTGTCAGCCTTTCAGAGCATTTCTTAGAGTGTTATAGTACTAACTCTTGAGAATTAGGTATCAAAAGAAGAAATAATATATTGTTCACTTCTCATAGTTAAAGGATCAAATGAATGCTTTTTTTATTGTGGTTAGGAGGATGTTGCTGCACGATCACAAACAGTCTGGTACACTGATAAAGTGGAAACCAATGGATCAAACACAGAATGTGATTCAGCTGAGGAGGCAGTTAGTTATTCCACTAGTATTGTAGGAGGAGTGGTTGTTAAAACCCCAATCCAGTCAAAGTAAGTGTGAAGTAAAAAATTTGTGAAAAAAAGACATTTGCATTTACTGTAAACACTCCCACCGGTACATGTAAGTCCTCCTCTTTCTCTAGTAAAACCCTCTTTCCCCCTAATCAAGAACCCTGTTGTAAAAGTAGGTTGGTAGAGTTGTGGTGCAATTTATACTGAAAAAAATGCATGCTGTACATAGTGTGCATTAACTTTTGGCTACAATTCAACAGAGAAATAGTAACTCGCATTTTAAATCCTCAGACAGTATTTTATAATCATAACCTTAAGTAGGATTTTAAGTTTATAAAAAGTGTCTTGTAACCCATTTAGTGGGTTAAAACTTTGTTTGTGGAGTGTGAGTCCTGGCCTCAATCTGTGAATTTGATGCTTGCAGAAGCTAACAAGTCTTGGTTAGAGTAAATTATGTCTTTTGGGTTAGAGTGGTTTTTTTAAATTTTGGTAACCAAAAAATAGACTACACTATACCTGTACAATCTGAAGAACAAACAATTGCTGGTAAAACTCCACTCAGAATAAATATATAAATATAATATACTTGGCTAAATGATCTGATGAAAGAGGAAGTACTATTTACATGTAAGCGTTTGGCCTGCCCTAGTAACTTGGCCTAATTTTCACTCAGTTTGACAAGAAAAGACAAAACATAGAACCAAACGGGCACTTAGAAACACATTCATAGTGAACGAATAGCTAAATGTAAATAGAATAAGAAAGATGGTGAGTTTTGAGCTCGGTGAAGAAATAAAGGAAGATTTTTTTTCGTCTTGTCACGAGCGTGGGACAAAGAAAAAATTCTGACTCTCCATGAGGAATCCAACCTTAGACCTTTAGATTCCGTGCTCCGATGCTCTACCACTGAGTGGTGAGCAAGGCCCATTACGAAGTCCATCAGCCAAATGTGCCAAATTCGAACTAACTTCACGAATGTTTTTTCAGCTCACCAAAAACCCAACACAAGAAGAGGGAAGGAAGTCCTCAACTCACTTCACCAAAGAAGAGATCAGTCATAGATTCCCTATTTAGACGACGAAAGAAGTCCAAAGGTGATCCGGAGAGCCCCCTCGGGACCACACCCAATGACAAAGACCCTGCATCTAGTCCTGGTGGTGCTGATGCAGATGCTTCAAAGGACGGTAATGGGTCATTAGAGACAAAGGAAGAGACAGGAGGTGCTCAAAACGTTGATATCAACCAGGGGGCAGAAGGAGATGTCAAATCTGCCGTGGTGGAAGAGGATGAAGATAGCCATGCTACACCACATCACTCTGAACCAGCGGAAGCAACTACTGTGGTAGAGAAGGAACAAAGTAATGATGGTGTCAATGAAAAAGAAGTTGAAACCACCAAGGAATCGGAGGTAGAGGAAAATCAGGTGGAGTCGCAGGATGCGCAAGAAGTGTCAACACCTGTGGAAGGTGCGGAGGACAATGATGAGACAAACCCTGAAGCCCCCGAGGATAAAGAGCCAGAGGAGTCAGAGGAAATAAAGGACGCTGTCAAGAGAGCTCACACTGACAATCCTGGGGAAGAGGAAACAAGTCCGCCACCTGCAGCAAAGAAAAAGAAAACCATTTTTGGTGGTATCTTTACGAGGCGCAAGAGTAAGAAATTAAAAGGTGAAGACACTAGTTCTCCTGATGAGGCACAAGAGGAGAAAGATGATAAACCAGAGGAGGAGCCTCAAACTGTGGATGATAATACACCGCCAGCTGAAGGAGAAGGAGTAGAGACGCCAGATGATGGAAAAGACCAGTCTCCTCCAACTGAAACGGACGAGGGCACTGCTACCGCACAGCAAGAGGTAACAGTGGATGTGATTACTCCAGCAGTAGATCAAGCTTCAGAAAGTGCTCAAGCGGAGGCAGTAACTGAGGACAAAGATGATGAAAAGACTGAGGGGAAAGAGGAGGATGCTGCTGAGGCGGAGGAGCCAAGTACCAAAGAAGATAATGCACCTGAAAGTAACAAGAAATCTTCAGAGGAATCTTTGCAGTCTGAGGGTGCTGAGACCAAGGTCAAAATAGAGGAGAGAGTGGAGAAACATGTGACTACTCAAGAAAGCCAACCTAAAAAAAAGACTTCCCTTTTTGGTGGGTTTTTGACTCGGCGGAAGAGCAAGAAAACGAAAGGTGTCGATGACGACCCTGCCGTCGAAACATCACAACAAGAGGATGATAAGGTACAAGAGGATCAAGGGGAAACCACGTCGACCCAACCTGCTGATGATGCCAAACCAGATAGTGCTGAAGTCAAAGAGACGTCAGAGAATGAGCAAGGACAAATTCCGACACCAGACTCAAGTGATACCACTCCTACTGCAGAGAAAGAAGTTTTAGAACCTGTGATAAGTCCCGCAGCAGATGAACCGGTGGAAAGTACAAACGAAGAAGGTGCTGAGGCTAATAAAGATGATGGTAATGTTGACGCACAGGAGACAAAAGGTGTTGAGATGCAAACTGGAACATCAGCAGATGACGAGAAATCTCCAGAAGATGTAGTACAACCTAAAGAGGCCGAAGCTGTTGATGGGAAGAAGGAAACGGAGGAAAAGGCTGTCACGATTCAAGAAAATCAACCAGAGAAGAAGAAATCGATTCTTGGTGGCCTTTTTTCCCGGCGTAAGAGCAAGAAATTAAAAGATGATAGTTCGAGCCCATCTGACGAAAAAATGCACGAGAGCGACAGCGACAAAGTAGAAGAACACAAAGATGACGGTGCGTCAACACTACCTGCAGTTGACACTCCACCCCACGCAGAGGAAGAAGGGAAGACAGTGGAGAGCGAGACAGAGCAAAATGCGGCGCCCGAAGCAAGTGACGTTATTGTTGCTACCCAGAATGAAGTAGTGGAAGATGTGATCAGTCCTACAGCAGATCAAGCTATAGAAAGTGCCCCGGAAGAGGCTACAGAGAAGGAGAAAGTTCATGAAGAGAGTGGAAGGCAGGAATCAGTGGCGGCAGAAGAGAGTGAGACAAGTAATAAAGAAGTGGAAGTTGTAGTGGCTGCGGAGGTTCAGAAATCTGCAGAAAGTGAGAGTGGAGTAGAAAATGATAAAGCTGCTGTAGACGGTAAGGAAATTGGTGATGGATTCTTGTAGTATACTTTTCCGTCACCAATTTAAGACGATAAAATCCCATTATATCATATACACTTTGTTGCGTTAGGTTTACTGAAATCAACCTGGGGTACTTACGTTAGTTTCATACAGCGGATACCTTTCTTTTGCAGCTTCAACCGAGCCCACAGTAGAAAAGCTGACTTCGCCCGAAGGGGAAGAAGCCCAGGACAACGCAGATGCAGCATCAAAGGAGCGAGAGGCACTCATGAAAGGTTCATATAGCCCTAAGACCCGCCGCATGCAGATGAGGATAAGTTATGCTGAGACAGTTGGAGAAAGTAAGTGATCGTTTACTGTCCTGGGTTTGTTAAGTCTGAACACCCTTACATCAGTATTCATATTCTCCATATTGTTATCTCTCTAAGTCTTAACGTGCCGACAAGGAGAATTTGTTCAGCAATCTAGAGCCTCTAAAGTTGATGATCATTTTCTTTTTTCTCGCGACGTTAATCCTTGATTCAGGGGTGATATTGTAAGGAGAAATTAGATGCTTATCACTGTAAGGGGTCAAAGGGTTAAGGATGCAACAAATGATTTAAGATGTAAATTCTCTTAAGCGATTTTTTCACTTTTTGGTGAATCTGTGAATGGTTTTACTTCGTTTCTGTGGTTAACCTATGCCAATAAACACGTGGTTATACAATATATTACATCCATTTTTAAATCACAGGTGATCCTCGCGATCTGATTGGCTTCCAGCAGTGCGGTTTATCCACAAATCGTACTTCCTTTTTACCCTTAAGTGCATCTTTCCTAATAAATAAGTAATAGCAAAAAAAAATAACTAATCACTTTTCAAGGCTTGTTTCAAGTGACCAATCAAATTATAGGAGAATAAAAGACATAGAAGCTGTTTGTGGCGAATATTGCAACGTTTGTCCTCAAAAGATTTTTTTTGTCCAAAAAATGGATGAATTTAATTTCTTACAGTTTTTGATCAACGATAGTTTCACCATTTCTAAAGGGTGCAATAAAGCAATAACGCAATTTTGGGCCGAAATCATACTTTTAATTTCAAATCAAACTCGCAGTTCGCGCTCGTTCGATTTTAAAACTACACGTATCATTTCAGACCAAATTGTACTTCAGTCAGTTCAATTACCATCATGAAAACATGCACGTGGACTTCATAACCAATGTATTTTCAATGGTAGGGTTTTCTTGTCTTATTTATTGGACGCGTGTGATTATGTTTAGCCTCCGGACTGGGTTCCATAACACAAGGGTCTTACTGATGATTTTCACTGTTGTGTGCCCTAACAGGTGGTCGAGAGGTCGAGCTAATTGGTACACCAGAACGAGATGCTGAATCTCCTATTCAGAATAATAAAACACCTCCAGACCAGCGGGTATCGTGCCGGGCTCTTGGAGAAGTTGATCACGAAGGATGGTTGGCAAAGAAAGGTAAGAGAAATACTGAAGCAAAACTCCTAGTCGTGTCACGTAAAATACGCTACAGCGATGTTGGTCAGTAGGCTTTAAAACTAACTTTACTTTTGCTTCTAATCTTACCTAATAGAAGTGGAAGAAAGGGATTCGAGGAAGACTTGATTTAGATATTTACGTTATGGAATAACCCGATACTACAAACCAGTCAATACTAGAGTATTATTAATGGTAAACAGCAGCCAGTTGAAGCGCTCACCTCCGACTTCTTCTTCCTCTTTGGGTATTCTCTTTATTTTCTTGCTCAGTTAGGTGGAGCGGGAATTGATTAATGAAGGGTGCGATCAGAAATTTGCGCTTCAGGGTTAAAACGCGCTGTGCGTCGCGTTGCGCAATTTTTCCTCTTGGACGCCCTTTCCAACATTTGCTGCACCATACTTAAACGCCTCTTACGCTAGCCATGGTCCCCGAATGGAAATGCTACTGGTGGACTTTTAGTAGAACGTGTTTGTTGTAAATCGGCTGTTACCTGCCTTTATGATAGAGCTTAAACTGTTTTCTCTTGAAAGTGATGTTAGGAATTACCTGCAACAATTTTTTTTTATAAAATCTTAGCTAGAAAACAGGTAATTCTAGTCAGGGGTCTCATTACTATCAAATTTTTGTAGGAGGTCCTCTCTTCTTCTCGAGCTGGAAGCGTAAATGGGTGGTGTTGAAGGACGGGAAAATGTATTACTTCAAAACTTCTTTCGACCCTGAGGCTAGTGGAATTATAAACATGCAGGGAACAACTGTGGCTCCAGCCCCTGAAACTAAAAAGAACTTGTAAGTATGCATACTCAGGAAAACACCCCGTGTGTGTATGCGCACACTGGAGGTCGGTTTTTGCGATTAATGTCGTAGAACAGAGCTGACTGAAACATCGATAGGATTCGTATCAGTCACTTGACCTGAAGGCCCACGAACTGGTAGTTAAGAAAACGAAACTATATTTGGCTTCTGCCGGCGACGTTTATGCAAACCTTTGATGATAGTTTTTTGATTGCATTATGCCTTAACAGATCAAACAAAAGGATTTCTGATTTTTTTTAATTGTAATTAATTTTTTTCTTTAATTACCTAACATTTGTCAGATAAAATCTATTTTCGAGTCGATGCTTCTCTGGCAAAGAAATCACGTTTAAAGATTTTCGTGTTTGTTTGCTTGTTTCTATTTTAAAAAGTTAGTTGATCAGTCAGTGAGCCGTCAGCGTGCCGTGTAGGCAGTCCATTAGTTGGTCACCCGTTGGTTTTGATGAGTTACTG